ACGTTTTTTCTCAGCACTGCGGTAAAAAACTGGAGGGAGATCCCACCAGCGAGAGTAAGAGGGAGTTGGGTTGTGGTAGGGTAGTTTTTTCTGGTGGTCTATTTTTGAAGTGGCGTGGCGAGCTTTGCAATATATCGATTGATCTGTCATTTAAACCCATGGGTAAGAATCGATAAACGGGGTGTTCGCAACGAACACCTTAATACTCGATTCTTCACCACAGCTTCATGAGGGGAAATATCGATAATCGATCGTTCACGCATCGCGAATGTGGATATCGCGCGAGGCGGGAGCTCTATACTGCCGTGATAAGGAAGAACGCCGTATGAACATTCGAGAGTTGCCGAATTTCCTTCGATAAAATGTTTATTTTTTAGTAAATTTATGAATATTTTCCCCTGAAATTTTCAGGAACTTTAGGTGAAATTGCGAACAAAATTATCTGAAAATTTGGAAGGAAAACATTCATAAGTTTGCCAGGAAATTCATGTTTTATCAAATTAAATTTGGCAACGCCTGGAGGTTCATACGGCGTTTTTCCTTAGCACGGCAGTATAATGGCGATCTCAACGCTTACCCTCTTCATTAAGACACGACCCGATGTGGGAGGACAATGAGAGCGCCCGCAAAGGCTCAGTAGTCATGGAAGCCTTTTGATCTTGGATTCGAATTAGCGCTTCCCGACCAAGTTTAAAAATTGGAGATGAACTGCGCTGTTTCAAAGAATTCCCTTGACAAAGAAACGTACTAGAATACGTATGTCGCCACACTGGGAAAAAAAACACATTGGATCTAGAGTCCAGACTCTTGAAAACATTGACAAGAAAAAATACTCTTGATTCAATCAGATTTTTGACTAAATCAAAAGAAAATCCGCTCAAATTAAGAGACTTGGTTCTCCATTTAAGCAAAAATCCGATTAAATCAAGAGTATTTTTTCTTGTCGATGTTTTTATGAGTCTGGACTCTAGATCCATTGTGTTTTTTTTCCAGTGCACCTTCCGGTCAACGTTTCACAAGCGCCATGCGACGTTTCCAAATGTCTGACCCCCTATTATATTTTTACAGAGAAATTATTGTTTGAATCTGTTTGAAAATTTCGCTGAATTTTATCGACAGCACAAAGAAAATTCAGTGAAATTTTCAAACAGATTTTCAAAACCGTAATTTTTTTATTATGAATTGCAATATTTATACATATCATTTGGACGGTTATAACTGAAATCAGCATGACTACCGTCGGACGTTACCTGATTCCTTCTCACGTTTTTCTTTTTACATATCTTTTACTTGCCATGAAATAAATGTCTAATAATCTTTTTAAACGTCAAAGGGAAAACTCGTTGATTCTTTACCAACCACACGAATCGTTACAGCTTTTAGGACGATTCTTGAAAGCTGTGTCAGAAGACTGCTTTATCAAAATCTGAACGTTATTACGTTAGCACTGTAATCTAGTGAAACATAATTCGTACTATATTTTATTTTCTTCTTAGTTTTACTGTCCCGGTGACCTTCCCGAGAAGTTTCAGTCACTCTTTACGGTAGCACGGCAGAATCGGTCACTTTCTTGACGAGCAACTATATCAACACTCCGGATGCGCGGGAAGTATACTCACTCATTTGAAGGCGTTTTCAACCGTAGAGCGGCTAGGACAACTTTCTCCCAAACGTAATCGTGTTCTGGAAGCAACTTCTCGTGGTTTCCCAACAAAACTGAGGAATGAATATGGTTAAGCCTTATGCAAGAATGCAACTGCAAACCTCTTTTTCTCAGTTCCAACTTAATGTGGGTTTGTTCCTTTCTAATGAGCTCTATCCAAATACATCCACGTTCTTTCGTGAAAGAAACGACAAATTGGACGTATTTATGCTAAGAGGAACTATGATGCATTGATGCACGCAAACCTCATGCAAATAGTTTTTTTCCGCATACATACGTCCAATTGTGATCGTGTGTGCTCGAGGTAACATTGAAATTAAGCAAGCAAATTCCCGAGTTGAGTTCTTTCTGGCTTCCCTCTCTTCCCCCCCCTCTCCCTCTCTCCCCACATCTCCTCCCCTCTCATCTCTCTTCTTTTCCTTGTCTCATTTCTTCCCTCTTTTCTTCTCTATTCTCTTCTCTCATTTCTTCTCTCATTTCCTCTCTCCCTCTCCCTCTCTCTCTCCCCTCTATCTCTCTCTCCCCTCTATCTCTCTCTCCCCTCTATCTCTCCCCCTCTCTCTCTCTTCCTCTCTCTCTTCTTCTCTCTTTTCTTCTCTCATTTCATCTCTCTTTTCTCCTCTCTTTTCTTCTCTCTTTTCTTCCCCTCTTCTTCTCTCCTCTCCTCCCCTCTCTCCCCTTTTCCTTGTGCCTTTTTTTCTCTCTTTTCTTCTCTCGTTACTTCTCTCTTTTCTTCTCTCTTTTCTCCTCTCAACTCTCCCCTTATCCTTGTCTCTTTTCTTCTCTCTTTATTTCTCTCATTTCTTCTCTCTTTACTTCTCTCTCCTTCTCTCTTTTCTTCCCTTTTTTCCTCTCTCTTTTCTTCTCTCCCTTCTCCCCTTCTCTCTCCCCCACCCCCTTCTCGTCGCCTAAGAAACTTGCATGGAGGGCGCTGATTTCCGGGATATTTTGTCAACGGATGTCTCTGTACGAAGCGAGCGAAATCCCTCATCGACATCGCTTCTTCCACAACTTTTGTTCCTCGGTGCGCACCGGCAGTTCCCGCCGCTATACCCGGGATCCGCGTTCCTTGGGGATAATTCAATTCCACCTCGACGGTATTCGTCGGGAGAAGCGAGGCCACGCACACACGCACAGATGTTCCTAACGTCGCCGACAAATCAAAGCGGAATCCTCGACGATGCACATGAATTATGAATTCCATTCTACGCTTGAAAGAAAGGCAGCTTGGAGCAAGCTGCAAAAATCTTGAAGTTGGAGCTGAGGGGTTAAAGTATGACGCACTGATTGCGGCTTAAGGTGGATCTGCAGGTTCTGCGCAATGCATTCTGACTACGATCGATATCGATATCGCTGTATAAGCATTCGAACTTTCCGAAATTTCCTCACAGAAATTATTCATTTTTTAAGATGGTTTAGAATATCTTTTTTTGAAATTTTCGGACTTTTAAGATAAACTCACGAACGAAATCCTCTGAGAAATCGGAGGAGATATTTTCACAAACCCCGAGAATTCGTAATTTATAGAATTTGGCACGGCTTAATGGCTCATACGGCGTTCTTCCGTAGCACGGAAGTAAAGTTCCACAACAAACCCGAAGGAACGTAACTCCATTCCGAGGTTGCAAAATTGGATATAGTTTTCAGGCAAAATTTCTTGTTAAATTTCTCAAACCCACTGTAGAAAGCAAATGAAAGTGATTTAACAAATTTCCCCTGACATTTTAGTCATTTTCGTCATTTTCCCTGACATTTCCCGGTTCTACCTGACTTTTTAAAATTCCCTGACATTTCCCAGCTTTCCCGGACTGTAGCAACCCTGTTCATAATATTCCTCAAAAATAATAATTTTATCGGAGGAAATGTGGCAACTCTCGAATGCTCATACGGCGTTTTTCCTTAGCACGGCGGTATCTTCTTATTATTCAAATTGTCAACGTGAAGTTTGCGAAGTTTAGCAACGCCGTCCTCGGCGCTACCCTCTCGTTTACCTCGTCACCCTCTCTCCTCTCTCCTCTCTCCTCTCTCCTCTCTCCTCCACTTCTGGAGTGGTGGAACGTTTTTCTAATGAGCGTTGAGTCTTGCAAGAACCTCATTAAAATATTATCTCGGTAGAATACGCGCCCCAGACTCGCAACCCTCTTAACTCGACCGCTATACGAGCTCCACTCGGTCGATCTACGATACGTGTCATCGATTATCTCCGATCAGTAACGAAACCCGTAAGAATCTCCGGGTCCTCAACAACAATTTAGGATCTAAATGGACCACTAGACATGGTACAAATTTAAGCATTCTGATTCATGTTTCTCATTGGAATTTCACATAGAATACAATTCTTGCATTGAATATTACTGTTTATATCTTTTGATAATACACGAATTTTCCGATAAACATATAGATGCATGTCTTCCCTCCAATTTTTTAAAAAAATTGGTTTGCACTTAAATGTACCTTAAGTCCCTGAAAAGCTCAAGGAAAAATATCTAACGCAAAAATATCTAAATATCATAACTCTTCTCAAAAATGAAAATTTTATCTAAGGGAATTTGCCAACAAACTCTAAAATTTTCGTACGGGGTTCTACCTTAACAAGGCAGTATGGACTACTAGACAAGGTACAAATTTAGGCATTCTGATACATGTTTCTTAACTGAAATTTCACGTAAAATACGATTCTTGCGTTGAAAATTACTGAAATCAAGTCCTTACTAAGATATTAACGTTTTTATCGCCCATTGGCTACGGGATTTTTGAATTGCCCGGTCATAAGAATCGCAATTCTCTACGTGAGTCAAATCGCGCCTTATAACAGTTTTGGCAGGCTTCTCAATCGAGCATTGTTCCTTTTCCACCCTTTGGCGTTCAAATTGTAAACAATCGGCTATAGCTGAGCCAAAGCATCAAAATTGAGATTGCCATTTTTCCGTATCGCAGAGACTGCCACGGTAATGTTTAGTGTGCGATTTTACTCACGCAGACCATTGAGTTTTCATGAGCGGGAGGTTTGAATTCACGCGTCCAGAAACATTAAATATCTTAGTTAGGAGTTGATTTCAGTAATTTTCGTAGCGTAAATCGTGTTTTACGTGAAATTTTGGTAAGGAGACATGTAACAGAATGCTTAACTTTGTACCTTGTCTAGTAAATCATTGTGCAATTTATCGAAATCTGGTCGATCGCATCACGAAGATCCTCATTAATTATTTTACTTTGAACTTCCATTTTGATCGTTGTGACCAATAAACCAAATGGAATGATCGAAGGAGCTTGATTTCTAAGCACGAACTAAAAATATAACTAAACTGATATAATTGAATTTCCAAATTCAATTTACCTGAAAACTTTTTATCATATTCCTGTGAAGCCGAAGGGAGACGCAGATCGAAGACTCAGTAAAATGTCTTTTATGAATCCACGCTGAACACTGGAAAAAAGAAAATACGTCAAAAGCTTAGTAATCATTGATTATTCAAAGAACGCTTCTCTACAAATACACAGAAACGAATCAATATTTTTATTTTTTATTCTAATTACCACCAATCCTCGCAATTAGAAAAAATGCAGAGCTAACATCGAAATCGCCGGGTAGAGTTCAACACAAATTACTATTTGGCAGGATTGCCCGAAGGAAGATGTTGTGTAGGCTACTTCAAGAATTGAAGGCGGTATAAAAAGTTGCCCACCTCGATACCTTTTTCGGGTCAGTGGACCACAAATATAGTTCTTTACTGCAAAATGTATTTTGCGTATTGTTTGGATTTCGCATTTCCAACCGGTTTGGGTGCCCCTATGCATCCTCGAAACATTCTTCCGATCTATTTCGCAATCACCTCACTACACTGCCGTGGTAAGGAAAAACGCCGTAGGAGCATTCGAATTTTGTCGAATTTACTCTCTGTACACATCAATTTTTGAGGATTGTCATGAATAATTTTCATTAAAATCTTCAAACATTTCAGATCAAATTACGAACTGAATTCTTTGGAAATCCGAAAGAAAAATACTCAAAAATTACCTCTAAAATTATACTCGTTAATATTATTTATTATTTATTAATAATATTAATTATTTAACATTGATTAATATTACATTCGTGATTCGACCAATGTAATTTAGCAACGTCTGAAGGCTCATATGGACGTATTTCTATCAAACGGAACTATGTGCATTATGACGTGAGCCCTGTTATGCACATATTCTTATAGGTCTCAGGGCTCATGTCTTAATGCACATAGTTCCGTTTGATAGAAATACGTCCATATGACGTTCTTTTTTACCATGCCAGGACATCAAGTGGATGAATTTTCCTTAGAAAAACTGATAGTCTCATTTTATTTTATCAATGAGCTGATCAATGATATTGCTTGAAATTTTCATTGAACATTCTCCACGCAAAGAGTAAAAAATCCGTATTTTTCAGGAAGTGACGTTTGTATTGCTCCATCAAAAAAACAAGTATGCTGGAAGGTCGGAAACGTCGCACAGTGGCTCGAGTCAATTAGAGAGATCAGACATGAAATTTTTGACCAAATCTGGAAATTTTGATGTTTATTTCGTCACATTTTATAATTTAATGGGAGCATATAGAGGAAAATTTCACAAGGAAATCAATGGAGCCATAGAGAAAAAAAAAGGAGGTGTTTGCATTTCGAGCATCTTGGAATTTTTTTGATGACGTAGGTCGGTACAGCGACGTTTATCATCGATTTTTTTGGAAATGGTGTAATTCATGGGAAAAAGTCATTCTATAGAAAGTGCTTGAAATNTCTTGAGGTTTGTTTACCCTATGACGTAGGTCGGTACAACCTGGCCAGCGGAATCCGGAATTCGAAGTATGAAAAACGGACCATAATGTCCCATTTTTTGCTTAAATCAACTCATGTTATAATTTCAAGCACTTTCTATAGAATGACTTTTTCCCATGAATTACACCATTTCCAAAGAAATCGATGATAAACGTCGCTGTACCGACTTACGTCATCAAAAAAATTCCAAGATGCTCGAAATGCAAACACCTCCTTTTTTTTCTCTATGGCTCCATTGATTTCCTTGTGAAATTTTCCTCTATATGCTCCCATTAAATTATAAAATGTGACGAAATAAACATCAAAATTTCCAGATTTGGTCAAAAATTTCATGTCTGATCAATTTGAGTCTGATGAGTCAATTTGAGAAGTCGGACATGAAATTTTTTACAAAAACTGCGAATTTTGATGTTTATTTCGTCTCATTCTAAAGTTCAAGGGGTGCTCTTAAAAGAAAATTTCACGAGGAAACCAATAGAGCCACTTTTAGAACCTCAAAATTCTGTATAAACGGAGTCTAAAGCTTTTAAAGTTTCAAAATTTTGTCCGACCTCTCTTATTGACTCGATCCACTGTGTGCCGTACCGAGTCATACCGTCGATTTATGGTCGGCGCCAAAATCAACCATCGACTCGATTATACCTATCATTTCTCTTTCCCGCGCGGGTTCGAGCGAAATTCCATGTTCACTGTTTGTTTGCATCCTTCCAGGCTATCAACCTACACAAAACCCTAGGACTGATAAAGAATTTAAGAGGGAAGCACGGTATCTTTGTTTATTGCAGGGTCGATCTTTAAGGGCGGCGCCAGAGATGCAACCCTTGCCGCTATCTCAGCAAACTCTCCCCGTGCTCGAAGTTGGAACGGAGGGCGCAATGCAGGGGCGCAGCAAACTCGTTACCCCTAATGTCGTCATTGCCCCCAAAATTCGAGTGGATTGAGATCCTGCAGGAGTCGGGGTCTCTGATTCGACCGAGTAATCGGAAATAGTATTTCGCGGGAAACCGGTGGTGCCATGTGTCTGAGATCAACGCCCGGAGTCCCGGACTGAAAAACGATTTTAAAGGATTTTTAAGGCAACCAGACGATTTCATTTAGAGACCTACGTATTATTTCAAAAACCGCCCCTAAATTACGTAACCTAGCGTAACGTATCCTCAGCGGGCTGATTATTGAAATTAAAGCTATAGACAAAGGAGACAAAAGGGATATGGAGGGATCATTTTCGTGGAAGTGGGTGGTTGCAATAGATAAAGAAGGTAGATAATAGACTAACTAACGGCAACCCACGAGATGAGAGAACCCATGAGAATGGTAAATTCTACCAATCTTCAAGTTGATCCTGCCAGAGGAATGGTTACCCGTACCAGTATATAGTAACATTTACCTTTCTTCTGGCAGAATTGACTCTGAATTTGACTGCATATCGACGGTGAAACTACCAAACCACGTATCTCGTTTGCGGTGTTTAAAAATCTACGCTCACATTTTATTTTTTTGATATAGACCAAATCAATATCATTCTTTGAAATTTTCACAGAATTTTCTCCGCATGAAATGAAGAGGAAAAATCACAGAAATTTTCAAGACTGGACGTTAAGTAGTTTACATTTAAAAAATAAAGTATGACAGGAAGTCTGCGACGTCGCAAACCGAGATACGTGGTTTGGTAGTTTCACCGTCGATATGTAATTTGGACCTATAAATTCCGGACCGGTTTAAATACAACGTATGTGCCATTAGTTTCCCTATGCTCATAAGTGTTTTTTCAGATGAGCCAGAATTTATAGGTCCAAATTGCAAAATGCAGTCCAATTGACGCTGTGTGAAATACAGCCTGAAGGAATGGTAAATTCTACCAATCTATTTTTTCAGTGCCACCGAAAAAAAAGTGAAGTTGATTTAACATTCTGGATGTAAAAGAAGTGTGCGAGAACTTATACAGTGCTGGATTTCCCGCTGCAGCAGTTACTTTGACAATGCCGAAAATGTAAAACTAACTGCTATGGTGGGTAATTCAGCATTTCATAAGTTCTCGCACACTTTTTTCACATCCTAAATGTTATATCAACTTCGCTTTTTTTCGGTGTATCGTATGTGTGGAAGAAAAATGCACAAAGTGTTGATTGGAATTACGGCGTTTTTGCTGTAAACGGCAGAGTGTCCTTTCGTCCGGGAAACGACGAGTTCGTCATCGTTCGATATAATATAATGAGAGCGGGGATTTCGAAACACCGCAAATGAACTGCATTTTGCAATTTGGAACTATAAATTGTGGCTCTTTTAGAAAAACACCTATGTGCATAGGGAAACTAATGGCACATACGTTGTTTTTAAACCGGGCTAGAATTTATAGTTCCAAATTGCAAAATGTAGTCCAAATGAGATACGCGTTTCTGCAGTTCCAGAGTGGAGAGGGATCCACAGTGCAAAGCTTATTTGCATGATAAATAAGCTCAACCCGAAATCGGACCCGGGATTAATGCCCACGACGACGGGAGCCGAGGAACTTTCGCCATTAAAGTTATCGCGCTTTTATTCAGAGTTCCGCCGCGGAGATAAAGAGGCGGGGCCAGGGAGGGCGGTGGAGAGGTGAGAAGAAAAAAAATCATATTTTGAGCTTTTGTCTTGCCGCAGCTCTTTCCGACGCGGCTCTTTGTCGGGGCGAATATTTCACGGAAATGTAGCCTTGTACTCGCGAGAAAATGTCAGAGCAAATCTATTCGCTGAGCGTTTCCTAGCGCATTTAGTCTGATGGAAAAACTAGAGTCCCTTTATACTGAGAGTCAAGACAATTGGAATCCATTTCTGATTGGTTCCCGTATTTTAGGCCTCCACAGTGTCACAAACGGGAATAAAGATTACATTTTCACCAATTGCAAAGATTATAATCTAGAATGGACCAGGGAATTACGGGTTCGGCAAGGAACAAACGGAATGAGAGGAGGAACGGAGAAAGGCATTTGAGAATGGGCCGATCAAAGATTACGAAAAACGTTCAATTTCTGTAATCTTTATTCCCGTTTGTGACATCCATGAGCCGAATTGTCTTGACTCTCAGTATAAAGGGACTCTAGGAAAAACTTGGTGCCCGAGGAGAGAGGGATGTTATGTTGGACTGGCGGAGAGATCATATTGGTTAATTTAGATGGTTCCTAGGGGGTATAAGATGGACTAATTAAGGGTCTCTCGTGAGTTGCCGTCAGTAAGTATATTACCTACCTCCTTTATTGAAATTGATACACAAAGCTATAGACAAAGAGGACATTTGAGTATGGAGCGATCATATTGGTTGATTTGGATGGTTCTTATACACTAAGGGGGTGAATGGTGGACTAACTGAAGGGTCTCTCGTGAGTTGCCGTTAGTAAGTATATTACCTACTTCCTTTATTGAAATTGATACACAAAGCTATAGACAAAGAGGAAATTACAGCATGGAGCTATCATATTGGTTAATTTGGATGGTTTTTGTACACTAAGGGGGTGAATGATGGACTAGCTAAAGGGTCTCTCGTGAGTTGCCGTCAGTAAGTCTATTACCTACCTCCTTTATTGAAATTGATACACAAAGCTATAGACAAAGAGGAAATTATAGCATGGAGCTATCATATTGGTTA